ATTCTGATTTCCCATCATTTGGTGCGTATATTCCTAATATCAAAAATTTTTCTCCTTGTGTCTGAATTTCAATTGCCAAAATTCTTCCTTGCTCATCCTTAAATAAAAATTTTGGTGACAGGCTCTCCTTAGCATATATCACCACTCCTCTTTTCTTTACCTTGTCCGACGAAATAAATTCTTGGCCCAGTCTTTTGTTAATTAGAACTTTCCTATGGAGCCTAGTCACATGTGTTTCTTGTAAACAAATAATGTCCAATTGTTCTTTCTTCAATATATGAAATATCCTCCTTCTTTTTTCCGGAGAATTTCCACCGTTTATATTCCAACTAAGTAGCTGCAGAGACATCCTGTATTGATTTGTTGGTCCTAGAGTGGTGTTTCTTCTTTATCCTCTAATCCCGAGGGTGTAGGCGTTGGTCCGCCTCCAGGCGGTATAGCTCCAGATTGTGGTAGAGGCCAAGATGCTGCTGCTCCTTTTTGGAGATCTTCTCCGTGGTCGTGCAGGAACTTTTGTAGATCCTCTGATGTTCTTATTTTAACCTTCTTTTCTTTGTAGGTAAAAGATAGTCCTTGTGGAAACTCCCACCTATAAGGAATTGCGTTGTGTCTCAGCAACTTTGCCAATTCTGAATAGGTGGCTCTCAAATCCAATAGCTGTTTCGGTATATCTCTGTAGATTTCCACCCTTTTGTCCTGTATCTCCAATGAATTTTTGAAGTGAAGGCCTAGTATTTTGTCTCTCTCTTCCCTTGATCTCAAGATTATCAAACAATCCCTGGATCTGTCCTTCCTTACCAATCTTCCCAGTCGAAAAGCCGATACTATTTTAAAGTCACTTTCCTCCTTTATACCCCAGAACTTGGAAAATTCTGTTGTCAAAAAGCCAATCAAATCTCCTTGTTCAAGTTCTGGAATTGCCCTCAATCTAAGGTTGTTCTCACGATTTTTCAATTCCACCATGGACAGATAGGCTTGTTGTTCCCCTATCTGTTTATGCAGAGGCTTGACTTCTCCTTTGACTTCCTCGACCTCTTTCTTAGCTGACTCTGCTATTTGAATGGCTTCCCCAGCTAGTTTACGATTCTCTTCTGTTGCTCCTTGCAATTTTTCAATTGCTTGTGTATGCTGGGAAACCTGATCAGTCAATTTCTGGATCGAGGATGTAGCTTGGTCAATTTTTAATGATTGGTTATCTACCTTTTGATTTAAAGTTGACAATTGTTCCAAAATTTGTTTCAAGACTGCTTCAGATCCTCCTGTTGCCATATCTTCCTCTGCAGACTTGTCAGGCTTTTCAACTTCTGTCTTTTGTGTCACCAGCACAGCTGGAACCGATGATCTGCGTCCTTGAGTTAAAGTTGTTTGTACCAACTGTGCCAGCTTTTTTTCTTTTTCCTTTTCCTTAGCTTCCTTAGCTTTAGCTGCTCTTGTCTTCCCTGTACCACTCATTACACATCAGTCAATGTTCAAGGTCAAATTATTTGTTATCCCATGGGAAAGGCAGATCCAGTTTGAAAACAATCCGAAGAGAGAAAGTAAACATAAAAAGCTGTTCCCAGGCCTTTATAATCCCAAAGTCCTCTAGGGGGAGTGCCACCAAAACTCAAGAAGAAGAAGGAAACTTTTCCGCCATTAAAGTCCCTGTTGTTCCAATTCAAAAACACAATAGTCCCAAAGCAGTAAAAGAAAAAGTCCTCCAGAGCTCTTTTAGAGTTTAACAAAGTTTCAAAAAGGTGTCTGCAACAATATCCAATCCAACTTGTTTATGCTCAAAAGTATCACTTAAGTTTCCGAAAGTTTGTAACAGTTCCGCAGTTAAACAGTTTCCCCCAGGCAGCCCGACGATTTGGCACTTAAGTATCAATAGCCCCTAAGCGAGGGGATCGCTCCAACTTACGTTTAAAAGTCCCTTTTACTTGCGAGGAGTTCTATATTTCCTCTTTAGAAGCCAATTCTGTAAGTACACGAAAGTCCCACTTTAACGCTTCCCTTTTCAAGTGCTTTCCGCTTCTCAAGTCCTTTGCTTTGATCTTAAAAGCAGTACCGGAAGGCGGACTTCCTTTTTCTCGTCTCCCGGTTTCAGCCAAATTCAATAAATTAATTCCCCGGGTTTGATGACCTTACTCACGGGTTTGTTTCAGCCTGATGTTTTCAGGAAGAAAGGTTGACGCTCATCTGTGACAGCCGCGCGGCTTTGCTTCCGCAGAAAGAGCGATGAACTCACAGCACCGCTCCCCCTCCTCCACTCCGGAGCCCCTTACAGGGTCCCTTCTGTGTTTTCGGGGTCGCTTCAGGTGAATATTGAATATTGTTGTTGTTTCCTTGTTTAAATTATTCTGTTCACTAGTGATATTTCACATAGCCTTTGTGAATGCAAAGCAACTGTGGTTCTTATGATCCCTGCCCGGTATTAAGTGTTGTTCTAACCTCCCTATTGCAGGTGGAAAGAGGAATGTGGGGCTTGCTTATAATATTTTAGGGTGACAGGATTAAGATTTGGGACTGGGACTTTCAGATTCACATGAGATTTCTTCCGCAAAGAGGCCTGAAGATGTTTGGCTTTACCTGTCCCAGTTGTCGTCCCAATAGCCCCAGTTGGGCTTCTCCAGCCAGGTGCCAGGGCAGGGCAGGAGGCTGTGTTGGCCGGTGAAGACAGAAGCAGTAGCAGCAGAAGAGTTTGGATTTGATATCCCGCTTTATCACAATCCGAAGGAGTCTCAAAGCGGCTAACATTCTCCTTTCCCTTCCTCCCCACAACAAACACTCTGTGAGGTGAGTGGGGCTGAGAGACTTCAGAGAAGTGTGACTGGCCCAAGTAACCCAGCAGCTGCATGTGGAGGAGCGGGGAATCGAACCCGGTTCCCCAGATTACAAGACTACTGCTCTTAACCACTATACCACACAGCCCTGGTGGAGAACCGGTAGGGGAACCAGGGCATTGCCAGAGCTTTTACCCACCAACTGCTGCTGCTTCCCAACCCGCAAGTGGCAGCTGCGGCCGCTGCAACAAATTGCCTGAACGCCATGGGAGGAATGAAGGAGGGAGGGGGTGACGAAGAAAGTGCATGAGGAAGCGGCACAGAGAAGGTGCGCAGAAAAGGAAGGAAGGGCGGACTGAGGGAGAGGGAGGAGGAGCAAGAGGAAAACTCAGCAGCAGCCGGCAGCCAGCGTCACACCCCCTTCCCAGCGCCACCCTTCTGAGGCAGGCAGGCGGGTGAGCTGACTCTCCCCGTTGATGGCGCCCGGTGTGGGACAAGATGGCTTGTCCCTGAGGAGAAAAGCGCCGCCAGGTGAGGGAGAGGGAAAGAACGTGCGTGCTGGCAATCCATGCGGCGATTCCTGGACCATCCGCAGGCCAGATCTAGAAGGCAATTGCGCCTGATCCGGCCCACGGCCCTTAGTTTCCCAACCCAGATGCTTGGAGATTCAGACACCCATTAGAACAAGAGTAAACATGTTCTTCTGATTCAAAGGATTCTGTGGGAAGAAGAAACATGATCTGGATATTGAAGGAACTGCCTACAGGATTAAAGACTAGAGATCCAGCCAAGAACTATATCAGATCAAAACTCAACATGGATGATAATGAGGGGTGAAAAGAGTTCATTGTATAGATGGAGACTAAATAAGGGTTTATTTGAAAAACACTGAATTACAACATATTCCAATTACGTTAGAGTATCAAAAAATGTTAAAAACATTTGGAAATATAGGGAAGGATGAAACTATCACTTTTACGAAGGATTTCAACCATAAAGAGAAATGTTTTACCTAAGATACTGTTTTTATTTTAAATTACCAATAATAAACAATACAAGCTTCTTTAACGAATGGCAAAGAGATATTTCATGATTGACCTGGCAGGGGGAAAACACCAAGAATAAAGTATAAAATTTTGATAGATACTAAAAATAGAGGTGGCTTCGCACTGCTAGATTTTCTACTACGAGGCAGCCTCTTTGTGTTGGTTAAAAGAATGGATATCGTTGGACAACACACTATTGCTGGATTCTCAGTGAAATCTCGGTTGTAGAAGGCTTTGGAAGTTGGACGTTTGGGGCTTTCAAATGCCAAGAACCCAGAGGTGAATGCTTCCATTTTTGAACGCAATTTGTAAATAAAATTATATACAGTGGTGCCTCAGGTTAAGTACTTAATTCGTTCCAGAGGTCCGTTCTTAACCTGAAGCACCACTTTAGCTAATGAGGCCTCCTGCTGCTGCTCCGCCGCTGGAGCATGGTTTCTGTTCTCATCCTGAAGCAAAGTTCTTAACCTGAAGCACTATTTCTGGGTTAGCAGAGTCTGTAACCTGAAGCGTATGTAACCCGAGATACCACTGTATTAATAAAACTATCTATATATAAAGCAATTGAAACACTTCCCACACTGTTGGGTTGAAATAAGCGACAGACGAATGGCAAGGTGTCATACGGGAAGCATCTCTTGAGCAAGTCTCGGAGTCCCTTTTATTGAATATTACAGCATTATATATGTGCTTGTTGCTGATTGGTTAACATGAATACAATGCAAGGGTTGAATATAGGTATTAATCATCAATAGATTAAAGGGTGGGAAAGGGAGCACAGAATTGGACAGGCGTGAAACCTCCTTATTAAACTATTAACTAGTGATTGAGTATCAAGACTTAAACTATTACTAATGATTGATTTTGCATGACATGAAAGAACATAACAATTGCGTTCCGTAGATGTGGTCAACAATGCGTTAAGAACAGGTCAGGGTACTGAACTCAATGTGAACTGATCAGAACATTCCCAGACCCATGCGTAGAGGCAAAAACATCCCAGCATCCATCCCAGCACCACACTCCTTCCATTCAAACCATTTTAGATTTTTCAGTTTGTGGATTGTAGGGTTTCAACTCTTAAAGCTTTTCCTCCTTGCGAGTCCATTGATGGTTTCTAAGAACATCAGGACTGAAGCTCTATGTACGCTCCATATACGTAAGCTCCATACATTTAAATGGTTTCTCCCGTGTGAGTCCGTTGATGTCTTCTAACATTTCCAACATTGGTGAAGCCCTTTCCACACTCCTTACATTTAAATGGTTTCTCCCCTGTGTGAGTTTGATGATGGATACTAAGTGCTGTACCATCAATAAAGCTCTTTCCACATTCCATGCATTTAAATGGTTTCTCCCCTGTGTGAGTCCGTTGATGTTTTCTAAGTGTTCCACTGCGATTGAAGCTCTTTCCGCACTCGGTGCATTTAAATGGTTTCTCCCCAGTGTGAGTTTGATAATGGGTTATCAGGTCTCTACTCTCAATAAAACTCTTTCCACATTCCATGCATTTAAATGGTTTTTCCCCTGAGTGAGTCCATTGATGCCTTCTTACTGCTCCACTAGAAGTGAAGCCCTTTCCACACTCCTTACATTCAAATGGTTTTTCCCCTGTGTGAGTCCGTTGATGGATTCTAAGTGTTCCACTAGAAGTGAAGCCCTTTCCACACTCCTTACATTCAAATGGTTTTTCCCCTGTGTGTGTCCATTGATGGATTCTAAGTGTTCTACTGCGATTGAAGCTTTTTCCACATACCATACATTCAAATGGTTTCTCCCCTGTGTGAGTTTGATGATGGATATTAAGTGCTGTACCATCAATAAAGCTCTTTCCACATTCCATGCATTTAAATGGTTTTTCCCCTGTGTGAATCTGTTTATGTTTTCTCAGTGTTTCACTGTGACTGAATCTCTTTCCACAATCCATACATTCATATGGTTTTTCCCCGGTGTGATTTCGATAATGGATTCTAAGTGTTCTACTGACAGTGAAGCTCTTATCACACAGCATACATTTAAATGGTTTTTCCCCAGTGTGAGTTTTATGATGAATATTCAGTCCTCTATTTGTACTGAAACTCTTTCCACACTCCAAACATTTAAATGGTTTCTCCCCTGTGTGAATCCGTTGATGGATTCTAAGGTATCCACTCTGACTGAAGCTCTTTACACATTCCATGCATTTGAATGGTTTCTCGCCCGTGTGTGTCTGTTGATGTTTTCTAAATGATCCACTATCGGTGAAGCTCTTTCCACACTCCATACATTTATATGGTTTTTCCCCTGTGTGGGTTCGTTGATGGTTTCTAAGGTGTCCAATCTGACTGAAGCTCTTTCCACACTCCTTACATTCATATGGTTTCTCCCCCGTGTGCGTGTGTTTATGTATACGAAGGTTTGAACTCCAACCAAAGCTTTTTCCACACTCCATGCATTTAAATGGTTTCTCTCCTGTGTGAGTCCGTTGATGTTTTCCAAGTGTTCCACTGTCAGTGAAACTCTTCCCACACTCCATACTTTCAAATTGTTTCTCCTCTCTCTTTTCAGAATCCATGAATTTATATGGTTTCTTTGTTATTCCCATTGGACATGGCCCTCCAGAATTTTGACTGCCTTCTCCATTGTCTTCTTTCAACAGGGAGGAGCGGGGGGAAAGGAAACCTAGGAAGAGAACAAAGGAATATTACACACATCAATTAGCACCTGCTCTTATTTTGACATCTCGTACATTCTTTCCTGTCCTCCATATGAAATTTTTCGGAAAGACAGATGAAATAATGTTAAATAATGGTAATGCATCATCATGATTTAGAATAATTATATGCCACCGGGTCTCGCACCTGTCTCCTGACACTGGCTTATCTTAGCGGAGATTCCCTGTCCAGGCCTCTCTCACTGTTCTTCCTCCTTTTCCCTGGGTGGCCAAGGGCTTCTGGATATTCTAGCTCTGCTCCAACTGGGATTTATTTATTAAATTGTTATACCTCTCTTCATCTGAAGATCACAAGATAAAAATATGTGTTACACTGAAAAGGTGAGTATTAAAGGTGAATAACACTGATTGTGGGAAAGAATAGAAAGATGATGAAACCAGTGGTGTGTCCACCTGAATGTAATATAATAAGAATAAGAATAAGAATAATGAAGTGTAAAGAAGAAACCAATCTTCAAATCAGTTTCATATTCCCTGGCTGTATTTCTCAGCCATGATTGTGACTCAGAATCTTAGCCACACTTTATTCTAGATTATCAACTGGATCTCTTTGTAATAGGAGCCAGACATCCCTGGGATTTCATCCAGACATTCCTTTAGTGTGGGCAGCAGCAGCGGAGGAAGGAAGGAATTCACTTTGGGGGCAAACCATTTCCTTCAGAAGGTCTTCCCCAGCGGCCAGCAGGGTTGATAAACTGCTCAGTGTGGACACCTTGGCTTTATAGTGTTAGGGTCTGGATACCAATCACAATCCCTTGGAAATGTCTCAAGAACCCTTAAGATCCAGTTCCACCAACTCCCAAGTAACACTGAGCCCTAGAGGAACCTTCTATGCTGAGTTGAGGCATCTCTTGCCCTCCAGATGTGGTTGGACTCAAAGTACCACCTGCCCAAGCAAGGATGGCCCATGGCCAGGGAGGATGGGAGTCTTATCTGGGGGGACACACTTTCCCCTTCTTCCCCCTCCTCTGAAAACGCTTTCATTTCTCCTTTCTCCGTGATCTCCAACATCTTCCTGATACAGTCCAACCAACTGCTCACATTCCGAAATCATCCTGCACCACTGACTTCCCAAGGCGGCTGCATTGTGTCTGGGACACTGGCAATGGGAGAGCACCTTCCACTGGATGAGAGGATAGAGGGTTAAATCAGGGCTGGCCAAATGGGACTCAGCTCCGTCCCCTCCTTGCCCCTCCCTGCATCTCCTGCTTGAGGGGGCTGCCTCAGTTTCCCTAGTGGGGGAGCAGGCCCCGAGAACAGCCTTCTCTCTTCCCCCCAAAATACAGGAAACACAACAAAGAAGGCCCTGGAGTGTCACTGTGGAACACAACCACAACACAGAACAACAACTGGTTGTAAGTCCCTTTGGGATGCCCAGGGCAAGAGAAAGCAACTCATAGATTCAATAAATAAATAACAATAAGAATAACTGAAACTGCAGCACAGTGGTACCTCGGGTTAAGTACTCAATTCGTTCTGGTGGTTGAGAAAGTGTTCTTAACATAATGGGGCCTCCTGCTGCTGCCGTGCCGCTGGAGCACAATGTCTGTTCTCATCCTGGGTTAGCGGAGTCTGTAACCTGAAGCGTATGTAACCCGAGGTACCACTGTAATAATAATAATAAGGCAGCCTCTTGAGGGGGGGACACGGGAACCCACCCATTTCCATAACAATCTTCCCAATCCCTTAAATTCCACAGAGTTAAGAGATCTGATATAGTGGGAATCATGGAAAGCAGGTGAGAAGGAGTTGGGCCCAGGTGTCTCTGGGGGGGAGACCTTTAGATGCTTCTCCACGGAAACCCAGGCATGTGGGAGAGACTGGAGTTGCCCAGAGAGAAGCCTCAAAGGCGGGGGGGGGGGGGATAAGAAAGGGGGCTTCCTCCTTTCCCCCCCCATGGTTGGACTCGCTCTAACAGCCCCCAGCGCCCCCTGCAGCTCCTGATCTGGGACCTGAGGCAGGGCAAGGACTGAGCTTCAGGGGAGGAGAGGGTGGCTGGATCGGGGCTCCTGCTCAGGGATCTCTCCCTGGTCTACGTGGAGTCCTGGCAGATTCCTGGGCAGGAGGGAGAAGACAAGGCAGGCGGCCCCCCAGTCCCTCTCTCTTACTCCAAGATGGCTTCGATCCCTCCCCAGGGATGCTTCCCTTCCTCCCTCCGCCCCCCAACTTCCTCTGCCCTCCTCCCTCCACCCCAGGGTCCCATTTGTGCCAAATTGGAGGGGAGGGGAGGGAGGGAGAGGGGGGTCTCCATCCAGGCCTCTCTCGCCCCCCATTAACCCTTCCATGGACTCCCCACTCTCCCCCCAAAGGGGACCCACCAAGCCTAGGATCGCGGCGCCCCAGGGATTCCTGCCAGGGGGTTCAAGTCCCAGCCCTGGGGGGGGGCTCCCATTTCTATTGCCCCAAAGGCGCCCAAGGGGGGGGCAGGGGAGCTGAGCATCTTAAAAAGCGGGAACCCACCCATTGCTTGGAAGCTGTGGCTGGATGGTTACGTGGGAGCCAGTTGAAGTTAAATCCCTCGAAGACAGAGGTCCTCTGGCTGGGACGGGACGATATGAGATTGAGGGGGCAACTCCCATCTCTTACGGGGGTGCAATTAGTGCCAGCACCGTCCGTTAAGAGTTTGGGTGTAATCTTCGATACCTCCCTCTCCATGGAGGCGCAGATTGCAGCCATAACAAAGGCGGCATTTTTTCATCTCCGCCAAGCTAAGCAGTTGGCTCCTTACCTCTCTCGCCCTGCCCTTGAGACTGACCCAGAAACTCCAGCGGGTGCAGAATGCCGCAGCGAGACTCCTTACGGGGTCTTCGCTGCGAGATCATATCCATCCGGTGCTATACCAGCTGCACTGGCTCCCGGTGGAGTACAGGATCAGGTTTAAGGTGCTGGTTTTAACCTTCAAAGCCCTATACGGCCTAGGACCCTCGTACCTACGGGACCGCCTCTCCTGGTATGCCCCACAGAGGAACTTACGGTCTTCAAATAAAAACATCTTGAAGGTCCCAGGCCACAGAGATGTTAGGCTGGCCTCAACTAGAGCCAGAGCTTTTTCGGTTGCGGCTCCAACCTGGTGGAACGCTCTGTCGCAAGAGACAAGGGCCCTGCAGGACTTGACATCTTTCCGCAGGGCCTGCAAGACAGAGCTGTTCCACCAGGCCTTTGGTCAGGGCGCAGCCTGACTCCCTCCTTTGGCAATCTTCACAAAACTTCAGTTTATGGTTGCCATCAATTTGTATTTTAATTAATTTTTATAATGTTTTTATAATGTTGCACTGTTTTAGTGTTGTTAGCCGCCCTGAGCCCGGCTTCGGCTGGGGAGGGCGGGATATAAATAAAATTTATTATTATTATTATTATTGCGCTGCAAAGGAGATCTTGCAATGCAAACCCTGCCGGTGCTCCCTCTGCAGGAAGCCCCCCCGCACCCCCCGCTGCATTTCCCATAGTAAAAGGCAGGAAGGGGGGGGCATGCAATGCAATCCCTGCGAATGGAGGGGCCCCGATCTCCAGCCGGATTGCATGGATCGGGGCCTCTGCAGATAGCGCCCAAGCCGTTGTTGGGGGGGGGTCCCTGCCCCCTTTCCCTCCCCGCCCTACAGCTTTACCTCTTTGTCCTCTCTGTCCCTCCGCTTCCATCGCTCGCTATTCTATTCCAATTTCCTTTCTCGGGGGGTCTCCAAGGAGGCGCCCCCTCGGCAATTTCCGACGGTCTCCGGCTCCCTTTCCGAATGCGTCTGCCCAGAGAGCTACGAAGAAGAAGAGCCGCCCCTCCGGCACCTAAACCTGCCCCTCCCCCGCTCGCCGGATCCCCAGATCCGCCCCAGATTTCACCCCCCCGCCCCAAATCCTGCCCCCCCTTCCCAGCTGCCCTGTTTGCAGATTCAGGGGGAGGAAAAGCGCCTCCTTCTCTCCCCCCCCCAATATATAGATATATTTCGCACCTCTTTCCCCTCCTCCTCCGCAGAGCTGCTCCTCTTCCGGGAAGGTGGATCAGGCCCCTCCCCTCCCCCCTTGGCCCCCCCTCCCTGCCTCTCTAGGAAGCGGAGCTCACTGACCCGGGGGGGGAGGAATGAGTGGCCCCTCCCTCCCCGAAGACACCAATTCTCCTCCTCCCATACCAGCTCCGTTTTCCTGATTCTCTCCTGAGAAAGTCCCGGGTTCGATCCCCGGAGGCGGCAGGGAAGGAGACCCCCCCCAACTGGGAAAAAGTCCCCCCTTCATCTCTTTTAATCCCTTGCCGGGAGAGGGGGGGGTCCAGTCAGTTTCACCCCCATTTCCCGACGGGGGGGAGGCAGGGGGGGAGGCAGGGGGTCCCCGTTACAACAGCCCGCAAAGTAGACCGGAGTTGCTGCGCAAAGGTTCCCCCCCCCTTCGTAGCAAAGCGCTCTTCCGCCGCCCCTCCTCTCCATGGGCTGGCCATCTCCAGATCCTGGGCTCTGCCCCTTACTCTCCCCCTTCTCCCCACTGCCCCTTTGAAGACAGAGCCAGAGCATCGCCCCCTCTCCTGGGAGTCTCTTCCCCTGCCAAACAGCTCTTGCTGGCAAAGGTTTCGTCAGAATCGCCTTTCTTGCAACTTGAAGCCCTGGGTTCGAGTTCTACCCTACAGCCTAGAATAATCTTTCTTTGTTGCTGCATCACCCTGCGGACTCAGGTTAAGCTAGTGGTCCACCGAGACCCCTGGATCCTTCCCACATGTACTGCTAGTCAGCCAGGTGTCCCCCATCCTCTATTTGTGCAGGTGGGTCTTCCTGCCTAAGTGCAGGACCTGACATTTGTCCCTGTTGAAGTTCATTCTGTTACTCATTCTGTTAGGCAAGGACGTGACCCAGCGGAGATGCTATTCCTGTTACAGGAAATCTCAGGGGAGCATCAATAGCGCAAGTTGCACTCCTCCCGAGTGGTGGATCTATGGCTGGGCAGGATCTGTCCCACCTCAGACTAGAGGGGA